CTGTGCTGGGGCTCCTGCTCTGTGGGGCTGGCTGTTTCCTGAAGAGAGAACGTTCCGCAAAGTTGCAGGAGCAGCAGGAACGGAAGAGGGTGCAGTCGGAAAAGGAGGAGGCCCAGCAGGCAAAGGAGGAGGCGCTGAAGGCCAGCGGTAAGGCAGGGCGGAGGCCGGGCGGGGCAAGTGCTGCAGTTGGTGCTGAGAGGGACAAGGCACAGGAGTGGGGTCTTGTAGGGCAACTCCCTTGGGCTACAGCCAGGCCGGAGGAGATCCCCGAGGACAGCTGGAACTGTGGAGGCTCAAGTGGGAGTGGAGCTAGAATTTCCTGTAGGACAGCAAAGCTCTGTGTTGGGAGTCCTCCAGGCAGTCTTTGCTTTGCTTTTTTTTATTTTATATTTTCAATTTTTCCTCCTTTTATGAATAAACAAAAGCCCTCCAAATTACAATGTGAAGAACACTGTATAAAATTCCCATAAAAATTACAGTAGGGTTGTTTTCATCAGCGGGGCAATTACTGCGGCTTCCTCTGAACTGAGCAGCACCCGCTTGAATGCATGTTCTTTCTTCTTTGTGACAATCTAAATTTAGATAAGTACAGATCACAGCCAAAATGAAAGTTTTTAACTTTAATGAAATGTCTTTGGATATAATGTACATTTCCATGTCACCAACACTAGTTTTTGGGGCCACAGTAAAATACACAGAATTACATCCTTCATTAATATGAATGCCAATATTTCAAGCAGTAATTTCTGTTACATGGCAAACAAAATCAAGAAAGCAACCATTAAACAAAAGAGACCCACAGCTTCAGACAACGCAGATCCCAGGGTAGCACAGGAGAACAGTTGCTGCTTCAGCGATGGGTTCTGGCCTAACCAATGCTAAGGCTGCCAAAGACTGTTCCAATACCAGCACCGGAACCAGGCACTCCTGCTGTAGCAGCGCCGGCACCAGTAAATCCGGCAGCAGTACCAGTGTCTCTGCTGATTGCACTGGTCTGAAATCCCCTCTGGGTTAGCTGAGAGGCACCATTCTGGGCCCCGTTAAATACCATAGAGCCCCCTCCAGTCCTTGCCTCAGGTCGAGATAACACTGATGCAGAAATTGGTCTGTACACAACTCTGGATCCAGCTTGGATCAGAGCGGGGGAGCAGGCGAGCTTGGCGCAGGCGAACATCTTACACACTTCGGGGCGGTGGGGCTCGGATGACAAGTGTCGTGGGCTCCTCTCCCGATTCCTCTCTTCTTGGGAGGTGGCGGCGGCAGCTATGGCGGCAGAGGCCAAAGGAGTGGGGCCCAGTCTTTGCTTTTCTGAGGGATGGAAGTTCATGCTTTTTCTTTTTTCCACGTTTTTTATTTTTTTAAGTTTTTGTTTGTTTGTTTTTTGCTATAGGTCATGTGTGCTCACTGCAGAGGGAACACACACACACACACATACACAGAAGAAAAGTGAGAAGTCACCCACATGGTGCCATCTCTTCTTCATTTTTTTCTCTGTATTTTGGGCACACACACCCACACACACACACTCACACACACACACACACACTCACACACTCACACACACACACACACACACACACACACCCTGCTCACACTTCGAATACATTTTTTATTTATTTATTTATTTATTTATTTTATTTTTTGGAGAGATTTTCACTGTAGGGCGCGTGCGCTCGCCAGACAGACAGAGAGAGACATGAAGTTCATATTTTCTTTTCCCTCTCTTTCAGGTGAACTCCGGGCCGCCCTCAGTAAGTCCTGCGTCCCCCCCGCCCTCCCTGTGTCCCCTTCTCAGCAGACATTCTGATCCCAGCTCACCTTGTCCTGTGTGTTCCTTTCAGGGGAGAGGAAAGCAGCTTACCTGGCTGGTGAGTGACCCTCCAGGTGTCCTCGTTTCTCACCCACCTGTGCCCAGGTCCCCTGTCCTTGTTTCTGTCTGGGCTCAGCCGTGTGGTCCCCTGTCCCTCCACCCTGGGAGCAGAAGTGGAAACTGGTGGGGGTGAGACCCTGCTCCATGACTCTCCACATCTGGGCCGCTGCTCCTGCTTGGGGACCTGGGGGTGATGGTGACCCCTGACCTACTGTACACCCGGGTCTCCTCACCCCACCTGACCTATCCACATATAGACAGTTTTCCAGCCTTAAGTGCATCTGACTTCCAGTCTGCACCCAGACACTAAAACCAGTTATTTTCAAAAATGAGCTATAGAAATACACGAAGTTGTCAAGTTCAGGAGTGTGACCTCTCACCTCCTCTCCCCAGAACACCATCCAGGGAGAGTCATTCCTCTTCCAGCTCCTGAAGGTGCTAATTAAAAAGAGACGTGGCGAAGATTGGGTGCTGGCTGTGGTGGGGTGTGATTGGGTGAGCTGAACACGCCCTAGAATAGTGATGCTCATCTTTAGAAATATCTGTGAAAGAGCAGCCACCTCTTTATTTATTTATTTATTTTAGCTTTTATTTCTTTCTTTCTTTTAATATGACCAGAGAGGGACAGAGCAAGAGAGATAAAGTGAGAAAGCAAGCCACTAGGTCCGGGACTCGAACCATGGTCATTCATGTGGGAGTCCAGCGCCCCTAACCATCACACCATCTGCTCGCCACTGTTACCCAGAGCTTGCCGTACATTCCTGTCCTTAAAGCAGTCCTCCTTTTGAGTTATTTACCAAATATATCTTTGCTAGAAAAAGACTGGTTATAATAACGCTTTCTAGTATTTAGGAAGAACTTGAAAGGGTGTGGGGAGTATAATTTATATTTTATTAACTAAACTATTTTCACACGTAGTTTAATGTTTGATTCTTAGCGGCAAAATCGAATGTAGATAGAATAGAATTGTTCAGGTGTTCACGTGACTTGCCTAGAGTCACACACCGCAGCGGGACAGGGTGGAGCTGTCTGTGGTGTGGGCGTCCTGAGCTGTGTCCAGGGAGGTTCCCACCACCCCCTCTCTCCCTGCACATTGCAGGGGCCCCTCCTCTCCAGCCTCCCTCCTCACACAGATAGTCTCACCTTTAAACAAAGGGGAGCAAGGGCCGGTACCTTCTCTCTGAGGGGCCTGTCCTGGCCGAGGTCTCACCAGCTGTGTTCCCTTTCAGCCTGGAGGAAGGCCCAGCTGTACGGGGGTAAGTGACTGAGTCTCCTCTGGCCTTCCCTACCCGCCGTGGCCCTGCTCTTCTCCCTCAGGGTCTCTGCACTAGGATGGCTCAGGTCCTCGCTGTCCTCCGTCAGAGACTGCAGGGAGCACAGCTCTGCCTCTGCTCGGGGCTCTTCCT